AGAGAGAGAGAGAGAGAGAGAGAGAGAGAGAGAGAGAGAGAGAGATGAATGCCGAGGCTTAACCTGCTTTCTCCTTTTTACCCACCATACAATGGTGCCGCCCATCTTTAGGGCATTTTTCCTCCTCAATTTACCCACTCTAGAAACTTCCTCATAGACATGCTCAGAGATTTGCCTCCCAGGTGATTCTAGACCCTGCCAATCATTGTTAACCATTACAGGGAGGGAGGGAAGAGAGGTCTGGGATTGTCTACATAGAGTATGGGCTTCTTGAAGGAGATGTCCACAAGAGCTTCTGGCTGATGCTTCTGTTGTTAGGGAAGACCTCGGAAGTGCTGAATGCTGCCATGGTACCCTTGATCGAGCGCTACAAATGTAACAATAAATACATATACAACAGCCTTATCACACCAGCCATGATCTGTGCCGGCTTCCTGCAGGGCACCGTGGATTCTTGTCAGGTAATTTTGAGTTTTTATTCAATCTTGGAGTGTGTGGTTCCTATTGAGTCCCCGAGAGACATGGGGTTGGAGATACCTCCCAGGGACACAGAGTCAGTTGGGAGCCCTCTGGGGAGGGCTGGTCACTAGCAGCATTTATGCCTCTGGCAGAAACCAGTACTAAGCACACTATGCTAGAAATGCTTTTGTCTGTCACAAGTGTTGGTAAATTGTAGTCTCCCATGTACTTGCTAACAGCTAATTGGCATGGACCAACTTCATCTTTTAGAGTATGTCTCTATGACCTGCCTCCTGCTGAGGAGAAAGACCCACACCCCCTTTCATATCCAGAGACTCTTTGTCCTCTCTGCATGGTACCAGTGTGGCTACAGTGTGCTTTTCTCTTCTCTGTAACTTGTTGTGTTCATCAGGGAGACAGTGGAGGTCCTTTGGTTACTTTGAAGAATGACATCTGGTGGCTGATTGGGGACACAAGCTGGGGCTCTGGCTGTGCCAAGGCATTCAGACCTGGAGTGTATGGGAACGTGACAGTATTTACAGACTGGATCTACCAGCAAATGAGGGTAACTTCCCCAATTCCTGGGTTATCTATCTCCTTGAACTCAAGCCATAGGTCTGGGAGGAATGCAACATGGCATGAGCAGACACTTCCATGGCTGGAAATGCTCCTGGATCACCTTCCCCACCCCTTGCCTCTGGTTTCCTAATCACTCTATACTCAGAGCCTGTGCTGCCTGCACACCGTTGGTGGCGGTGCACGGGACTGAGCACATCAACATCACTGGCCTCTCTGATAGCGCTGAGGGCAGAGCTGGACTCAGAGAACTTTCTTGGCTCCCCATTCTCGTGAAGGGTCAGCAGAGCCAGACATTTCATCCACACATAGTTGAGTAAGGGAATAGTCAGATGTCACTCTTCCTCAGAGGGATCTCTTGAGGGGTATTAGGGCAGCCTTCATGTTCTATTCGGAGGGAAAGGGGTGGCTAGAGATCTTAAGCCCCCCCAACTTGGGTCCAGGGGAGGTTGTACAGCAAGGAAGAAGCCAAGGGGTTCCTGTGAGCCGGCCCTCCTGGCTCATCCATACAATCTGTTGGAGCCGCAGCCTCTCCATCCCAGGGATCAGAATGAGGGTTTGTTTAGACATGGACTCATTGGAGAGGTTCCTAGAGAAAGAGCATATTTCTTAGTATCTGCCTGATAGAGAATCGCTAAGACTGGGGCACTGTCATGAGGCTTGACTCTGTCAACGCAAGCAATACCTGAGCTTGGGGTTTCACATCATGACAGTGAAGTCCTCTCCTGGCGGAGACAGGTGGGAACAGACAAGCCCGACTATGCTGAGGGCCATGAAGAGAAGGCTAGAGAGATGGGCAGAATGGAGGGAGCTGACCAGCAGGTGTATTTAAGCCTGAAGGCCACTCAGTGTGGCCTTGAGGAAGGCAAGTGCTGAGTGGGAGGGGTTACCACAGGTAAGAGTGGAGGACCTCATAGAGCAATGTCCTGAGCCAAGCAAGGCTTCTGGGCAGACACCCATGTGCTTCCTGCACCTGTGACCTGAGCTCTACCTGCAGAAGTCTGTGAGGGCTGTGCTCAGAGACTCTGGGTCTTTCATATCACCAGGGGAAAAAGACAGTTTTATCTATCTTAGGTGAGTAACCTCATCTCTTCTTCCTGTTTGCACAGGCGAACAGCTAATCCACGTGGCCTTTGTCCCTGGCTTCTTTTGTCTTCGATACCCTTCCACAAGAAAACCAAGGGGCTGATTTTGAACTCCTGTGCACAATGTACCTTTTGAGATGATTCAAAGGGGCCTTTCACTTTATTAAACAGTGACTTGTCTGACTGTGCTCCCTGGTCCTGTGCGGGCTTCAGTGCCCCACCCCAGGTCACTTCTGCGACTCCCATCTGAAGGGATGAAAATCCTGTTGGGTTTGGGCATGTAGGGCCAAATGCAGAGGAGGGCGGTATTGTCATGCTAGGCCTCCTTTTGTGCTCATGCTCAGGCCTCTTTTGGATGAGTAAGGACTGTGACTTCTGAGTAGCCTGATGGCTTGAGAAAAGAGTGGGGAGTCCAGGCAGGGCTGTGGGCCCTGGGACAGACACCTTAAGAAAAAGCTACCTGCAGCCTGTGACCTGGATCTGCTATGCAATTTGGGCTGGTCCTACTATAATGACTTCATTAGCATCCAGGGTGAACACGGCTGGGAGTAAAGGACTCGAGCTCCCGCCTGTTGACATGATAGCCACTTCCAAGGGTGACATAACCTTTACCAAGCTGAGAGCCCAGACAGAGCCCTCAGAGCAAGAAGCTAATGTCATCATGTTCCCCTTGGCTACCGTCCCTTGGGGAAGCTCTGCATGGTGTTATTTAGTCTCATTCTTGGCTCCCCACCACTGTTTTCTTAGCCTCTCAGAGCCTGAGACTCACCTCTTAGACTTGGCAACAGGCAAGGCCTGGTGCCTGATGGGGCCTGTATAGTTCACCTAGTCACCTGGAGGATGAGGTCCATCAGAATCAGGGACACGTGATTCCAGTCACCTCGCTTCTGGGTCATGTTTCTTCTTTTACTACCTCGCTGCTCCTGGAGCACTAGCCTGGATGTCTAGATGGATGGCTAGTGTTCACCTGAATTTGGATGTGTGATTGTGCCTCAGACATTAGACCTCTTACAGATGGTGAAGTTATTCTGTAGCATGGGGATGGGATTGGAAGTTCTTATCGTGGGACAAAGATGAAAAAGAGGAAGTCATTGTCCTATGTTCTCTTCTGGCCCTGGGTTTCCACCAGGAACATCATGCCAGAGTTACCAAGTATGAAGTATGAGTGTCTTACCTATGGTGAGACTCTGCCTCCTTCCCTCTGTCCGGTTCTCCAGAAGGCAATGGATGAGTCATAGATGGGACTCCTTTTCTGGGAAAGGACTCCCATCCAGAGAGGGTTACCCACTCCATGATGCTTCCTCTGGGAGCAGCACTCAGGGACTTCTGAACGCAATGCCAGACTAAATGTGCAAGCACCTTGAAGTGTGAGAACATGTTCCCCTCCTCAGCTTTCCCTGTCTGTGCTCTTGGTTGGTTGTTTCCTTTATGTCTGTTCTGAGTTTCCACTGTGAAATATACAAATAAAGTTTATAATCTTTTTCCATTATTCATTGACTCTGTAGTTGTGCCCCAGGGGCAGGGCCAGGCTGCAGTAGTTTGGGGGGCATGTCAGAGCTGGTGCTGGGTTGGGGGAGAGATGCTGTGGGAAAACCAGCCCAGACCTGGTTAGATCCTACGCTTGGACACTTTCAGTGATTCCTGCAAGAGCTTTACCAGCTCCTGAACACAACCTCCACCACCTCCTCAAAGTCATAATCCAGGAAACCACCATTACCACCTTTCTTCCCCAGTTCCTTCTTAATCCTCATTCACAGTCCGTTGGTCCTGGAAAGGAGCAGAGCAGGTACCCGGTAAAGTCTATTTATGTCAGCTGTCATATGGAGGCCTTCAACTCTAGAGACCCAGCCTCAGGCTCCCACATCCTCAGGCAACCAGATGCAGACTTGAGTTCAGCATCTGTATTCTGTGGCTTCTTCACAAAACACCGGATGGTTCATGGTAACAGAAATGCTGCCTCATACATTGTTCACTCCTCTTCCCTGCAGTTGGGACCATTACGGGGGAAAGTTGAATGTGGTCTACATAAGAACTAAAGCTACTCTGCTTGGAGTTCTTAGCACATGTGTGTTTCTTCCGTAACACCATTTTTTTTTTCTTTCCTCTTCCCCATTCTTGTCTTACTCTACACCAGGGTCTTATATATATCCTGGGATTGCCCCAAACTTGACATAGCTGAGGATAACTTTGACCTTCTTATCTTCTTTCCTCTACCTCCAGAGTGCTAGAAATACAGGCGTGCATCACCACACCTGGTATTATGTGGTACTGGGGACAGAGCCCAGAACTTACTGGATGTTGGGCAAGCATTCCACCAGCTGAGCTGTATCTCTAGCCCTAACTTATTTAACATATACTATAGGTTCCTCACCATTAAACCCACATCAACCTCAAGCTCAGCCTGCACAAATATTCCCAAACATGTTCAGACTTCTTGGGCTGAAGATAAAGCACTGTTATGCAACACTGTGTTCAGGGCTGTGCAGCAGCAAAATTACATGAAAATACAAACACACACACACACAAAAGCCAATTTAGGGCACTAAATAGCTGTGAGAAGGATTTGCCTCAGTGCGTGCCCGAACAGTAAGGGAAGTGGCAGCCGCTGGCCTCCGCTGGGATGTCCGTTCAGGGCTACAGATTTCTGCCTTGAGGTTGCTACTAACCTTTAGCAAGAGAAGTTCACAAATCTGACCTTGAGGACAGTGAGGAATGATGCTGGTTTAATGTGTTGCCCTAAGTAAAGAAGCTGGGATGTTTCCTGTTGTCAGCCTGGGAAATTTCATACTCTAATTTCATTTGTGAACAATGCTGACTTCACCTGAAAGATTGAGCCAAAAGCAACGAGGCGAGGGAAACGCAGATGTTGGTGTCGTTAAACCACTCTATTAGTTTCCCGAATATAAGTTAACTCAGCATTTCAGGAGAGTAAAAATCAATGTCAGCTTCTCATAGCTGGGCAAGGAACTGAACCCAGCCTTGAAAAGATCACTGGTTGGCTGAGTTTGGGGGTGATAGTCCTGAGATTCTCTCCAGATATGGATCCCTGGTTTCAAAGGTATTTTCCACTTTGGCCAAGGCTGTGTGGTTCCAGAGACACACCTGTCTGGTGTGACTGTCCAATTACAGTGCAGAAGGGTGGCTGAATGGTGTGATGTGGCCCAGGTTCACTTGGGGGTGGTGGTGCAGTGTTTGATAAGGGCTTTAATTTTTGTGCTTGGAAAGAAGCCTTAGATCTCCCCTCAGGGAGTGGCTGGGTCATCCCAAATGCATCAACCTGCAGTGGTGGTACTTGAGGCACAAGCTGGAGCACTGCCTGACCTGGATACCAGGGCCAGTTCCCCAGGAGGAGAATAAAAGTTCTGATAAGTCCGAACCCCAGCTGTGTCCTTCTCAGGCCATTGTCACTGTTATTGGGTTACATTTACATCAACTTCCCTCCTTGAGACCAGGCTTGCTGTGGGAGTCTGCTGGCTGGCTGGTGGCAAGTGCCTGTTCCACTTGAAAAGAATTTATAGAAAGAAGGCTCTCCTCATTGAGAACGTCATGTCCACGAGGCCTTTGAAACAAGGTTCGTGTGGAGTCCCATCATACAACATGGGTTGAGTTCCTGCAGTGTGCCATCCCTAGTGTTCTGAAAAACTGAGGCATTCTATTGCAGTCCATTCTTATCTGTCTAGGCCTCCCCTTACTACACTAAACACCCCCACTTTATAATGGTCACCAAGACCCCGTCTATAATATTCACCAGGAGAAGATACACTGCAAACTTTAGCATCATTGATAGGAGTATGTCAGGCAGGTGGCATACAGCAGGTGACAGTAGCCAGAGGCATGGTTGCCATCTTGGGAGCACTGGTGAGTTTTGGCCTGAGCCTGGTCTCTCCCAGTGCTAGAAATCTCACAAAGGTTCTAGAGTTCTCATTCTGGGTTCTGAACACAGGGATAGACCCCTAGACACTTGTTCTTTATGGCCCAAAAGGAATCCTTCTGGCCCTTCACACCCAGCAAGCTACTTCTCCATTAATTCCCTTCTTTGTAGCATAGATGCTTGCTTGCCCCCTCACCCAATGAAGCCTGGAAAGGTCCATCTGATACTTGGATGCCTCTGACTCTTTCTAGTCTATCAGAATCTAATGTCCCTGGAAGATGGAGCTAGGTTGGGGCTATACAGCAGAGGGATCTGGGCATGAAGAATTCCTCAGACACTGGGCTTCTCTCAGGACCAAGAGAGTAAGTCTGTGCCAACTGGAGGGACACACATTTGAGTCAGAGATGTTTAAACTGCCTGCCCACCTTATTTTCCCAGAATCCTCTGTGATGGGAGGCTCAAGTACTTCATGCTCCAGTTCATAGTCTCTGGGAGCTCCAGTGAGTGTGGGAATGGCAAGAAGTTAGTCAGCCCTGGAGAGGCCTATTGGTGTCATCTAGGCAAAGCCTTAGAATTGGAAATGGGCAGTGGCCATTGTCTTCATAATATCCCTTTTGTAAGCATATTCTAGAAACCTCCCAAAATCATTGATGAGACATGTAGGGTGGGGTCTGTTTGGAAGGGGACAGGGTGGCTATGCAGCTGGTCTAAAAGGGAGACCCCTACCCCAGGGAGCAGGCAGTTCTTGAGGCAGTATTTCTGGAAGTCTATAAAAATGACTCTGCTCCCCCATGTCCTTCATCATGTTTTCTGGAGAATGTCCCTCAGAGCCTTGCTCCTCCCACTGCCTGCCAGGTGTGTCTTCTCCTTTCTGGGCCTGACATTCCTGATGTTTAGAGCTCCTCAATGGACCTTGTGTCAGGACCTCTATTGGGCACCTGTCCCCAGCCAGTGTGACTTGCACCCAAGACCTCCTAACCTTGAAGGAAGGAAGTGCTGTGTGGATTTGGAACTGAGTTCTAGAAGAGTCTTGAGGGTGAGGCTTGTGTTCACTTATCTTCCAGTCATGGAGGGACTCTGCAGCTCTCCTGCAGGGAGGGTATTGTTTCCCAGCTGATCTGGTCCTATCCTGGGTGGTTTCTCCAGATCTGGGCATGCAGAGTTTCCCATAGCCTCTGCTCATATTGAGGCTGCTTTGCATTTCCTGTAGGCCAGTGCCCAAGAGCACAAAGA